ATAGTTCAGGGTTATGTCCCCTCTTACACAATCGGTAGATATACTTCAATGTTACATGACCGCTCCTAGACGGTAAATAACTTCGGTAAATATACTTCTATCTCTACTCTTACACAATCGGTAGACATAGTTCAGGGTCATGACCGCTCCTAGAGAATCGGTGAATATACTTCAGGGTTATCTCCCCTCTTACACAATCGGTAGACATAGTTCAGGGCCATGACGCTCCAAGAGAATCGGTGAATATACGTCACATGAATTATATCCTTTTCGAAAACGCTTGTTCTTCAGCACTTGTTCTTTCTAATTCTCGTTCTATTTTTGAAACCTCGGATATTTGTCACAGAGTTTGGCAAAATTCTTGGCCTCTTTGTATCACCAACTGCCTGTGATGGTTTAAATATTCTTCGTGATGTGAAATGTTGCCATCTATTAAACTTGTGTCTGGATATTTTGTAAAACAACAAATAAAATATCATCTTAATTCCACCCATAAGTCGTCTTATGATTAAATTAAACATACCTTGATTTTGTATGATTAAAATTCCAGTGTAACAAAATTGAGACACTGAGTTTAGACTGACTATGGAGACGTTGCACCGGAGGTATGTTATATGTCAATATAACCGTCTGTTATTTAAAGTGTGACGTATATCCAGTCATCAATAGTCTGACTGGCTGTTACTAGGCGTTAAAGGTATTTATAGTGTGAGCTATATTCAGTCAATAACTATAAAAACTAGTTGGTATTTTATTCTGAAGTAAACAAAAAAAAACAGTGTTACCTCCCATTAATCAATTGAGATTTTATCCAATAATTTTAAAACCATTGCCTTTTTTCTTGTTGTTCTATTCTCCTGTTTCGTAGTTCTCTTATTTGCTGTAATTCTTTCAATTCATTAGACTTATTAGTTTATTCTAATTCCTGTTTTTGCAACAGATCCAAGAGCCTGCGCTTCTGAGGAAATAAGTGATTTGTTGTTTGAAGTATTGGGGAACGTTCTGATAGTGTGCATTTAAGATTTTACCAAAAAACTATAGTTTCGATTTCCCTAACAAGTCCAAATTATAGATAAAACAGATTAAAATATTCCGTTTCATGTGAAATAAATGGTCATTCCGGATTTTATCAGAACCTTAAGTTTCGTTTAACAAGTGGTTTTTGTGCAGTTGGGCACGATGTGGCATGTTGGGCAATGCGGCAAAAACGAACCCACCGCATTTTTATTCATACTTATATTTTTTTAATGCACCTCGCAATGCAATTAGTGGAAAATTTGACGTGTGTCTGTGACTCGGTGTTTTAGATATTTTCCAGATATCAGGTTCTAACTACTTCGACTTGGACTAGCTCAAATCAGTTTTAGACTTGGAACGTTCAACATGCCTAATAATGTAAGTAGATGTAGAGCTCGCCATTTTTTCTTCTATATAAATTATGATAAACATTCAACTAATCTACTAACGTTATAACATGTTTAACTATAGGCTGTTTGGCATATACGTTTATTTTGTTTATTTTGTCCAAAAACTGGCGGTTATTTGACTGTTCATTAACACAGGAAAAACTTGTAATAGATAGTTATATCCATCAAATAAGGTTTTAGAGAGAATAACAGTATTGTCTGAGCAAAGCAAAAAGCTTTTTGAAGTGTTTCTATATGTTTTAAGATAATTGGAATATTAGCCCCAAAATAGTATTGTTACTCTAAGAAAATCTTCTCGTTGATAAGATTATAAAATGTTTTGTAAGTTTGCATTGAAAAGAAAGATATTTTCTCCTTGAAATTTTAACCCAAAAAAGTCTCAAAATTTTGCTGAAAATTTTCTTCTGGAAAAGTAAATTTTGAAGACATCATATGTACTCATGTTTATATATATTTTTTTCAACTCAAAGACATTTCTTAGAATGACAGTACTTTATGAGCAATTCTCTTAAAAATAATTAAATAATTTTAAAAAAAAACTGTTTACTTTGCTCAGACGATAAACAATACAGGATATGATTAAATTTCGACTGATTTTCTTGGTATATAACTTATTAAAGGGACATTGCGTTTATTTTGTAGGTCGAATTTTTTTTTTGCTCGAATTTGTGAAACCATAAACCAACATCTATAGAAATGTATCCAATAACGTATATGAAAGTATTAACTTCAACCAAATATAACGAAACATTATAAAACCAATCATTGAAACTAGGTCAAACTCCTTAATTAACAATTAGTACTCTCAGTTTTTAATTAACCCTTTTAAAACAAATTCAGTTTGATCAAGTAGATATAAATAGCATACTTTAGAAATATTTTCAGGTATAATTTTTTGACGGTTTTGATAATGAAAATGCTTTTCAAAAAGGAGGAATGCCCCATTAAAAAGTAGCTCCACTTTCATTTTTTCTTCTGAATTGTAAATACTTAGAAAATGAGTCACTTGGTATTTCCAAATTTCCAAATTAGTGATTTTTTTTATTGTTCACAAAATTGAATAAATCTGTAACAAAGGGAAACGTGATCTTTAAATAAGTCTTGATAATTGAAGCTAATTTTACCCTTCATGATTAATCGGGTACAAAAAAATAAGACGCAAAACTCCATTTTCTTATCAAGATTAGATACCTATATGCAAATATTCTTCTGATTTAATATTCTTTTGACAACATTTTAAAAGTACAAGTAAGTCATTTTTTCAAAGAACTCCCTACACATTAGTTATGTACCTTTTTATGTTTAAAAACTCTTGACAGCATTTATTAGTTAAGTAAGTTAAAGTTGGTTAAAAAAAACTCTTATTATAACCGTTTCTACTAAAAGAACTCGTTGACAATATTAGTTACGTATTTTTATACAAAAAGAAATTGTTCACAAGATTAGTTACGTATATTTTCTACAAAAAGAACTAATTGATAAGATTAGTTACGTAAATTTTTTACAAAAAGAAATTGACGACAAGATTAGTTACGTTTATTTTCTACAAAAGAAATTGTTGACAAGATTAGTTACGTATATTTTCTAAAAAAAGAAATTGTTGACACTTGGAAGAACACATTAACATCGATGGGTTGGTGGTCGTTTCTGTTGTTGGTTTGGTCGGCGGTTATCTCTTGGTTGGACGCATGAGTTATTATAGGTGCGTCATCGATGTGGTGGGTGGGATATAAGTTGTTGGGATGCTAGTAGGTCGGCGATTCGTAAAAGGTAAGGCTCCATGGAATACAGGGCCGTTGTAGGGTACACGATGTTGGTTTGGTTGACGGCTGGTGTTACGATATCTGGCTTCTTGGCAGTGGTTGTTGTATAATTGCTGCATAATGAAAACTGTAACGAGGTTAGTGGGGGAATGTATAAGGATTAAGTCGAATTAAAATTAAATATTTTAGTGTAAAATGAAGCAACGTCAGTAGGTAGTAGTGTGAAAATAAAAAGATGCTGTAAAGAAAACGATGTAACTGGATATTTCAAGTAATAGATCCAGGATCATCTAACATGTGAATATTCGAAAGTAATCTATTTAATTTCATGCAACAAAATGCCCCAAACAATATGTAGGAGAAACTAAGAATAACTTACGAACTCGTTTTAATGCTCATAAGTCGGATATCAAACTAAAGAAAGACAAGCCTGTTTCAAATCATTTCAACCTCGACAACAATTCATTAGACGATCTCACCCTAATCCCAATTGAGCGCATAGAAATTGACTTGCCCGAAGATGAAACTACCAAATTCCGTCATTCCAGAGAAGCCCATTGGATTGGATTGAACATTGAATACAGCAAGACCTATAGGACTAAATATTCACCATAATGTAGGCATAGCACCCTTTGTTGCCCCGTTCAATACAACCAGCGATCGAGCAAGCAAGATAGTCCATGCACACTATAAGAATCTTCAAGAGAAGTTCCCCCATGTCTATAAGCAGAAAATGGTAGTTGCATATTAAAAAAATAAGAACTTAAATGATAATATTGTTCATAGTAAACTAAAAACAATCAGTACATAACAGATACTATACTAATTTCAGATCAGAATCAGAAGAAAACCCAATATTAAGACCCTTAATCCTAATTTCTAAATAAAGTGTCTGCTCCACCCTAGGTATGTACATTTGGGAGCATCAAAGCCTCCCCTCCCCGAAAACTAACAATAATGTAAGATAATAAAAAATAGAAAAACAAAAAACTTACATAGTAGCATTAATCATTGTTGGAGGAGAGTAGTATAGGGGATGCCTGTTCCCTCATCCTATTCATTATGTATATCTTTCTCCCAAATGCACATATTTTTAAAACGGCCTGATAAACATGCTTAGAATTCATCGCAAAATAGTTTGAGGTCGTTTTTCTGTGAGGCGTCTGTGTATTATCGTTTTGGCCTAGGCTTTGCAACGTGTAAGAGATTGTACGGCTATACTTCGACGCTTCGGCGAAGGGTTATGTGATGAAAATTGTCGCAAAAGATACCGGTGCCGACGTTCTGCGTGGCTTTGAAGACGCCTTTGAGTGCACTTTTGGCAACAAAACATCCTGAATACATCTCCACAAATTTCATGTATGCATTGAAATTCCATTCGCTCTTGCGAGCCTGTCGTAATCCAATGAAAAGGCTTGTACAAAAATGCGAAATCAGGATGGGGTGAAAATAATGACGATTTAAATTTGTGTATTAATGCATCTCAAATGTAGAACTTAATCAACATCTTTCAGTTTTCACCAATTAATTTTCATTGTTGTTTCAGATCAACACAGTCAGTATGTGGAAAATTATTACAGTGTTTGGACTTTGGACTGTGACGTCATTCCTGTGCCATTATTGCGGAAAACTTTTTTTAAATTCCCAAACTGAGATTGAATCAGCATATAATTTTATCAACGCCTTTATTCTTACTCTATACCAAACCTTTATGTGTTATTCTCTCATAGAAGTTAAGTTTTGCCGTGATAAAGTGTATATATATATTTCTGCATGCCACTTTTTGGCAACTTTATCAACAAACTGCAGTATGGCCCTTATGTTTGCGTCATCTACATTCGCTATCAAATTAATGGAACCCATTACCAGTGTCTGTGTACAAAGACTCTTACTAGCTACTCCGTTACATCCATCGATATTTGTTAGTCTTCCATTAATAGTAGGTGGAGCATGTATGTTTACTGGAAACCCACTGGCCGATACATCTTTGTCTAAAGGCACCCTCATGGCTTTTCTGTCCAACGTCATCCTGGCAGTCAGAAACGCAGCCATCAAAAAGGACCAACACAATTCGTCCAGAATGAATTTACGTCCTTCTTCAACTATAGCAATGGTGATCATTTGTCATCTGGTTTTCACAACAGTTCTTTATCTTATTGAAACTCACTACGGTGCTGAAAACATTTTAACACGTGCCGTCTTTTTTACAGTATTGTCAAGTGTTTTTCATGTGGTGTATTCTTACATTTCATCAAATATCGTATTGAGGTACATGTCGGTGTTAAGTCATTCCGTGTGCAACATTATGAAAAGAGTATTAGTGGTTATATTATTGTATATAGTCGGTAGTAGACATGCCTCGTTTTCTAATTTTCTGGGCTTGATGGTTAGCACTGTTGGATTGTTTATTTATGTTGGTTTCAAAGTATCCTTGAAGATTTCTAATAATAGAGATGTCACATCCAAAGAGCAAGGTAAGGCTTTGAGTTCATAGCAAAATATCCACACTGTCATTGCAAAGGACGTTAGCGAGCTTAATTGGGGTAATTAATTGCACCTAGCCTGAAAAAAGTAATTAAGGGGATAACATTCTTTTCAAAAATTTCAAATTTGGTTAACGGAAGTTATCTACTGCAAATCGTCCGGGAACTTCTACAGCACCATTTTCGTACCACTTATTTTAGCATTATGTTTTCGCAGAAACTCTTGAATTTGGATCTTTTTGAGATTAAGGAAACCGTTAGGATGTGACTAAAAGTGGATTGATAGCATGAAACTGACATGTCGGTCCGTCCGTTCACATTGGCTCGTAAACACTCTAGTAGGCACAATTCTTGACTGATTTTGACGAAACTAGGTTGAGTGTTTATAATCACCCAAGGATGAACCCTTGTGAAAATCAGAAAACATGTGGTTGCCTTCTTGGTGGATTTTGACGAAACTTATTGTGATATAAACTTGGTAATATTATAAAGTATCGCCGCAAAAAGTTCACACAAAGTGTATGACTAAGGGTTGAATATTTCATACTCAAAGCTGCCAGTGGGCGTATATTAAATTGCCTGGCAAGCTATCTTTTCTTTTACAAGCAATCGTATACAGATGGTGTACCTATGCTATAATCCATTTATTTCATATGTATTTAATTCGCAGGTAAACGAGACAGAATGAGTTGTTGCTTCTCATTGTTTCTGAGTATAATTGGAATGTATAGCGATGTATTACGATATAGGTATGATAATGTTGCAAAGATGCCCTTGGAAGACTTCGAATCACGTTCATTTGGCAGGAAATCATTAGACATAATGGACACGTCAGACCTGGAACCAGAATCTTAAAACCAGCACAGATGTTATCCGAGAGGCTCAAAGAGTACATTTTAACCTATTTAAAGATTTGCTACGTGGTTTCCGGTACGCCATGTTGTTTGATGTTGCCGTGTTCGAAAATAAAGGAGATCCAGCCATTTCTTCGGGTGAAATTTATCTGTTACGAAGACTGGGTATTGATCTCATTTACTACTGCAGTATTAGCTATTGCACCGATAAAAACCTTCACTATGCTAAGAACATGAGTTCAATCTATTCCAATAAAGAACTCGTTATTCTCGTTCATGGCGGCGGAAACATCGTTGGATATGCCATGAACGATGTCCACAGGTTTAAAGTTTTGAAACTTTTTAAAGGTTTTAAATTAGTGGTTTTGTCACAGAGTATATTCCTGAAAGATAAAAACGCACATTTCGAACTTTGCAAACAGTTTTATTGTTGTAACAAGAATTTAACATTAGTTTTAAGGGACCGACAATCACTTTCCATGGCTCAAACATATTTCAACAATGGAACAAATCTAATTATGGCACCGGATATGGCATTTCAGATTGGAAGAGTCAAACGATATATGAGTCCCATGTATGATATATTATGGCTTAAACGAAATGACGATGAAACCAAACTATACAATACCCAGGATACCTGAAGGG